TACTGGAGCTGTTGTGCGTGAGTAGGCTGGGTGGGAGCCGATCCAGCAGGATCGCGCCTATTGGCCTGTTACGTGGTGCCTGGTTGCGCCATGGCACGCGTTGGGTTGGACCTGCTACATGAATAAGTTATTCTGTAGCCGGCTACATAATATATATATATAATGTTTTGTAGCGGATCATAGAATAACTTATTCTGTGGTCACTTTGAGTTACGGTAATTATTATGCTAATTTATTAGATTATAATAACTCCTTACTAAATAATTTAGTATAACATTATGGTAAATATCACCGTGAGTTATAGTAACACGAGTATCATAAATGTATATTGATGTTATCGTAAATTGGTACAAACATTATGGTAAATCAAGGTGGTTATACAATAAGTTATTTTATTGCCAGTTGCAGAATAGCCTTACCATATATATATATATATATATATATATATATATATATATATATAGTGTATTTTATATACTTTCGGGAATAGTTACTCCCATAATCAATAAATCACGTTGCGTATGTGTACATACTCATTTATTAGTTTGAGTATGTTGACATACTAATATTAAGATACTCCAGATCTTTACTATGTGAAAAAAAAATTCAAAAGAGCACATATTTTTTAATATATTATATAATACTATGATAGTAACATATAAAATAAGTATAACCATATACTCTAAGAATATATACATACTTGTCATGTATAGTATCCTAGATTGTCTAGTATGATGATATACTCTATTTATATGCACTTCGTCAGGTCATATATGTCCTAAATCTAGAGATATACACATGGGAGTAACTACTCCCCGAAAATAGAAAATAATATATATGTGTGTGTGTGTCCGCACTACACATGACCACTGGGAGTCCCCTTCTTTGGGAGCTGGCCGGGGCCGTTGATCTCAAGAGGGGTGGTTCTGGCCGGGCACATCAACAAGCTCACGAACTACGAATCATTAGATCATGGTCGCCTTTCGACTTGCGCGTACTTCACCAGTTGCAAATGTAAGTATTTTGATGATTTGGAGAGGATGTGTGAGTGTGACATAAGAGACCATCCATGATTTCAGATGGAAGGAAAAAAACAACACCTAGCTTCTAGGTTAGTCTTTCTATTGGATGGAATTTTTCTTGTTTTTATGTTTAGTTAAAGGGCAAGGACGATTCCTACTTTTTGTTTGGTCAGAGCCTCGAGCATTTTATTGATCACATTGTGAGTGCTGGCACATACGGTTTTTCATGGTGTGTGATTCTCTCTTGTGTAGCAATATGGCTCCACCTCTTCACTTGTCAATTTAGTACTCCCTCTATTCTAAATTGTATATTATCTTGATTTTTAAGCACATAATTTAGTGTTGAGTGTGTCTTCTTTGGCCCCGTTCGCTTCGCTGAAAAAAAAAGCTGAAACACTGTTCCAGCTGATTTGTTGTGAGAGAAAAACATTGTTCCGGCTGAAAAAACAAGCTGAAAAGTACGGATTATAAGAGAAACGAACATGGCCGTTTTATGAGGGGAGGCAGTGGTATGGTTTGGTGGCGTGTTATTATTTTTGCTTGTTATTTTTGCTTGTTAGCTCTTAATTGTTTTTGTTGCTACTGTTCCTTTTAATATAATCGGCAAATTTTCCTGCCTGATTAATTTCACTTGTCCCTGTACACTCAAATAAGTCTAAAAATAAATCGTTCCTCGTGTCCAACTAAAATAAAAAGGCTTAAAATAGGATCATCATCCAATGAATCGGACACCAGATTCCTGTCGATGGATCAAGCATAGGTGCACCTCTGTTCGTTTTAGCTTTTGCAGCGCTACCAAAATATAACCATCTCCTCTGTGTCTATATGTTGGTCGTAAAAGAAGTTGCTTTACAGGTGGCGCTTCAGCTGGTGTTTAAATCTAATGGCTAAAATTTAGAGGTGTCATACGGGAGTGTTTGGATAGTAATAATAAAATAAATTATCGAAGTCCTTGTACTCCGCGAGACGAATTTATTAAGCCTAATTAATCCATCATTAGCACATGTTACTGTGGTACCGTATTGTCAAATCAGGGACTAATTAGTCTTAAAAAATTCGTCTCACAATGCAATTAGTTATTTTTTAATCTATATTTAATACTCTATGTGTGCATGTGTCTAAACATCCAATGAGATAGTAACTAAACGGGATGAATTTTAATTTAGGTCCCAGAAAGAAAGCGTGGAGCCTGGCAGCGGGGCAGCCTTGGACTTCGAATTCGACGAGTCGAGGTCCGAGGGATCAATAGCAGCGTCGGCTCCACTCCAAAGTCCAAACATGGTGCTAGTGCTCCGTATAGACCAGGGGGCACTGACAAGGTTTTTTTTTCACGGAGTTCCGAGAGGGGAGGAGGAGACGGAGATGGGAATCCATCGCGGATGTCAATGCAGCCATTCAGCCGGTTCGGTTGCCTGGTGGCTGGTTGGTTTATACAAGAGAAAAATACTATTGATTGGTTTATGTGAATAGTGTTTATGTAAGGGGTTGGTCAGCTCAGCTAGCCAGCCAGCCCTAGCCGAACACGCTGATTATGCATAGGGACAGCCAGGGTGACTGACGGGGATCCTCTTGGCCGCTGGGTACCCAACACCCGGCTTGGGGGAATTAAAAGCCGCATTTTGTTTTCAGAAATGCTATACAACACACATGTATTTTAGCAATAAAAAAACATGGATTTTACTCCATCGGATCGTTCCCTCGGCTTGCTGCGTCAGTCAGATCTGCAACCGTGGTCGTGTCAGGTATGCGCGTGGTGAGCGTCCAGATGACGGTGGTGCAGCCGAGGGTGATGATGACGGCGGCAGGTGGTGGTGCAGTCTTGTCCCAGTCTTGGCAGAGGCAGGGGTGGTGCAGTCTTGTCGGAGGCAGGTGGTGATCCGATTTGTCTTCTTGTCTTTGCATACAAAAAAAAATTGTTTCTTATAATATGTAGATCTGTGATCTTATGATTTATGATTGTCTGGAGATAGAAGAAGGCTAGAGGTAGAAGAAGGATGAAGGTTGTTGGATCTTAATTCTATGATGTAAAAAAATTCATGTGTTAAAACTGCATAAAACACATAGGGTAGCGCTCCTTGTTATCACCGCCTGCCTCCCCGACCCTACCCCGCGCGATGATGGCTCTGCGCCCGCAACCCCTCCTCCACAACGGTAACCGCCGGCAAACCGTGCCACCGACCACCGCCAAGCTTTGCTCAGCCTCCGTGCGGACCGTGCCATCGTCGACCGCGCCGGCTGGCCATGAATGCGTTAGCAAAGTGTGCATGGGCTCCTAACACACTAACACTCCTCTCACATCACATGATGTCCCTAAATCGAAAAAAAAATCACATGATGTCCCTACGTTGTTGCAACTGTACGTATATATATTTATTTTCCTATGGACATGGATCATATTCACATACGGTTACTACCTCCACATGTTTGCCCCAAAAATAAGTTTTTCACCTTTTGGTATGGCAAGATCAGCTTGCAACAAGATTGATCTGATAACCTTGCTTCTGAAGTTAAAGTACCTTGGATGGCATCATAAAAAAGAATAAAGTACATTTTTCAATCATCAAGTTTGACATCGGTTTGATTTCCAACTCTAAACTATAAAACCAGTAGTTGTCGAAACTAGATAAAATTAGTCCTCTAGCAGGTTTTTAACATTGTTTCTATTTTTCTAAATCTAAAAATAACAAAAGATATGGTTTTGATCTCTACAAATCAGAATAATTAATTTATTCAAAATTAAAAATGAAATCAGTTCTAGCTTTCTTCTAAAAATGTTTTATATTTGTTGGTGCTCTATTTAGAGTTATTTGAATCATATTTGTTTTTGGATAAATAATGAGCACGACCACGAGCAATAAATCAATATGGAAAAATAAACCAGTTTCAAATAACTATATGTACTCGTAGATCATAAACAAGTACTAGATAACATCTTTGGGGAAAAAATGACACTAATTTTATATTAGAAAACAGAAAGCTACCTATGAAATCGGCCAAATGACCAAATTTGTCTTGTTAACAGTTGGAGGGTGTCTGTTATCCAATCTCATAGTCCATGTTTAAATATTAGACTGACTTACAACTTGAATGTTGGAAAATATACTTTACTCTAAAAAAAATCAAAACTTAATACTAAACTTTGTATAAAACAAAGGGTTCATAAAAATGTAACACTATAATTTGGCGGCCATTTTGTTTGGACGGAGAGTAATTTCATAATCATGATTAGGGAATGCCCAGAAAAGTGGAATACATATATAGAAACAATGCAATAATTGTTGTTTTGATATGGTGTAGTGAATATATAAGAAACCTTGACAATGGTCACGTACGCAAAAATAATGTTGTTGTAATGGAGTACTCCTTCTATCTCTTTTTAAGTGTTGGTACGGTATTTGTATTGGTCAAACTTTCTAAAGTTTGACTAGGTTTGTAAAAAATATTAGCAATATTTATATCTCATATACGTTTATTTTGAAAATAGATTCAACGGTCTATCTAATGATACTAATTATGTATCATAAAATTAATATTTTTGTATATATTTAATCAAAGTTGAGTATATTTGATTTTTTGATAAGCGAGAACGATGATTAAAAAAGGGTGGAGGGAGTAGATCCTTGCAAAATCTTATACTATGAAATTTTAATTTTAAAAACAGTGTATGGTTACCTTAGTAGTCTTCAAATGGTCAGAAATAACCAAATCTACTATGAACTTATTAATTTTTTCCAAACGAATAATGTACCCTCTTTTCCAGAAGGCTTGGGGTTTAATTAAATGTAAGTTGGTACGAAAATTTGAGCGAAGCGGAAACACATCGGCGTCTGAGTGGGCCCAGTTCAAACGGCCAAAGGCCGATCCGGGCGGGACCCACGACCAAACCCCGTATAACACCCGATCCGCCACTGCCACTGCCCTTCCGCATCCGAACACCACTGCCCTCTGCCGTGCTCCGACGTCGCCGGCGACCCCGCAATGGTCGACGTCGACCGCCGGCCGTCGCTCACGCACGGCCTCCCGCGGCCGCCTTCCCACGCCGCCGGCCTGCGCCGCCTCTCCACCCGCGCCTCGGCTCCCAGCACCCCGCGCACCCCGGCGCCTCCGTCTCCCTCCACCGCCTCCGCGGGCCCCGCGCCCTCCCCATCCGCGCTTCTCGCCCACCTCGCCACGGCGGGGGTGACCGTCCTCCCGGGCCTCTCCGCCACCGAGCTCGCCCTCGCGGAGGCCGCGCTCGGCGGCGTCCAGCTCCCGCCCGACCTCCACGACCTCCTCGCGCTGGGCCTGCCGTCGGGGGACGGCTTCCCGGAGTACCGCTCCCCCGCGGGGCTGCGCCTCCTCCGCTTCGCCGCGCAGGAGGTCCCCGCGGCGGTCGTCGCCGCGACGCTGCCCCTCGCCCCGGGCCGGCCGCGCGCGGGGAGAGGCGCGCCGCCGCCCCCGCCCCTCGTCCCGCTGTGCGGCCGGCATTACGTGCCGGCGACGCCCTGCCTCGTGGGCAACCCGGTGTTCCACGTGTCCGACTCCGGCGTGGCGTTCGCGGGCGCCAACGTGGCCGACTTCCTCCTCCACGCCTTCGCCGCCGAGCCGCCCCCCGGCACGCCGCTCCGGCGCCAGCTCTCCGCGCCGGTCCCGCCGCCGTCGGCCGCCACGCCGCCGTCCACGGCGCGCCGGAGCCTGGACTCCGTCACCGGCAGGGCCCCGCGCTGGATCGAGTTCTGGACCGACGCCGCCGCGGCCGGGGACCGGTTCTTGGAGGTCCCCACGGGCGCCAGCGCCACGAGCGCCGCCGTGTCCGGCGCGGCGGCGCCGGAGTGGTTGCGGTCCAGCCTTGAGGAGGCGGCCTCCATGCTGAGGCGCGGCGGGTGGGGCGTCCGCGAGGTGGAGGAGATGATGAGGGGAGAGGGTCCCAGCGGCGTCGGCGAGGTCAATGTGGTGGCGTTGGCGTTGACGGTCGACCGGTGCTGCGGCGACCTGAAGAGGGGAGGGTGGGGCGCGGAGGAGGTGGTGGAGATGCTGGGGGCGCTGCTGGGGCCGAGGAAGCCGCGGCGGGCGGCGCCAGCGCTGCCGCCGAACGTGGCCGCACGGGTGGGGCGGCTCGCCGAGGCCGTGTCGCGGGCTGTCGGGTCCCATGCCAAAGCGAAACCTCCGAGGCCATCTTGAAAATCGGGGAAAGAAGGGTGAAAAAAAACATTCTCTGTTTCCAAACTTTTAGTCTAGGACTAGGAAAAAAAATCTCTGTTTTCCCTGTATCAGGTACGTGCGTGTGCGTGTACTTGTACGTGAACTAGTCGTGTACCTTGTATGGTTTTGGTAGATCTGTCATGTACATGTTAGAATGGATGAATAAATATAAGGAATTTGGCAAGCTGAAACATTGCCATTGCGCATGATCAGATCGCAAAAAGGTACTCCTCCATTACAAAATAATGCAATTCTCGTTTTTTCGAGAAATTAAACAGTTTAAAGTTTGATTAAATTTTTATAAAAAATATTAATATTTATAATATAAAACAAGTATTATTAGATTAGTTACCGAATATATTTTTATAATAAATTTATTTAGAGACATATATACTAATATTATTTTCTATATACTTGGTTAAACTTGTGCCAGTTTGACCGACGCGGATCTCATAATTGCATTCTTTACTGGATAGATGGAGTAACTTACGTTAATCAAGGCTCAACGAAAAATTCTTGTAAGCAGATTTACATATGCAAACCCGGATTATCAGCTTGTGGTCAGTGGTCACTGTGGTTAAAATACAAGATTTGCCTCTAGGGGATGCAATTTTGGTATTGGAATGTGTCAAGTTTATAGAAAAATATCATTAATATTTATGAATCTAAATAAATTGTTATGAAAATATATTTTATAATTACCCTTAATTTAATAATATTTATTGAGTATTATAATACTAGTTTTTTTTCAAAAAAATAATTAAATTTAAAATTGGTTGACTTCTTGAAAAGCAAGAATTGGCCCCGTTCGCTTCGCTGAAAAAACAAGCCGAAACATTGTCCCAGTTGATTTGTTGTGATAGAAAAACACTGTTTCGGCTAAAAAACAAGCTGAAAAGTACGGATTATAAGAGAAACGAACAGGTATCCTTTCTAGGATGAAGGGAGTATTTAGGATCATACTTTTTCCTTAAGAAGTAACACTAGTAAAAAAAACTTAGGCTACGGGGTAGACACCCCGAGCTATTTTAGCTTAAGGCAGAGAACTTCTCATCCAGCCCGAGAAAACTTCCGAACCCCATGCCCTGCCCGCACACAGGGGGCCTGTTACCCGGTAAGAGGGTCAGTCCATTTTGTTTGTGCTTTGGGAACGCGGGATAGACGAGGGGGGTTTTCGCACCGTCGACCAAAAATTTGTCTGACCAATAATTCGAACTCTGATCACAGGAGACGCCACCGGAAGACTTGACCAACTGGTCACTAGTATCATGGTACTGGAGGCTTTGTAAATCACTGAGGGCGACTGACATTGCGTTCCTGCTTCGTCTGCTCCGAGTCTCGGCCCAGCAACTCAACAAGCATCCAAATGCTTCCTAGTACTCTTTATCCATTGAGGGCCCATTTGAAACCTTTGTAGGAATCGGTTCTATTTCACATGAAAATCATAGTACAAAATAGATAAAAATTCACGCCTTCCAAGTTCCAAACAGTACAGCTGAGCTAAAGTTTGCGCTAGGAATATACCAGCGCCGTCGAAATACCCACAAGACAAGAGGAGGCCTTTGAGCGAAGCTCAAGCATCGGACGGCACGCTGGGCGGGAGAAGTCGCTTCCATCCGGGTTTCAGACTCCCAGTCAGCTACAGTGTTTTCAGCCAGGCGATCTCCCGAGTCCCGACAGGCACAACACTGAACTTTGCAACAGAGATGCCCAGTTCCCAAGGGAACCGTTCCCAAGCGACTGCCACACCCGGACGGCAACGCCGTGCACCCCAACAGTTCCAATGTACCTGGCCAATGCAAAGCAGAACCAAGCATGCATGCATCTGCTGCCACAGTCCCACCTGCTGCGATCTTCCCAGCCGGCAGCGTACATGGGCTGCCGCGACGTAGCAAAACTGGAGTACGACGAATGGGGGCACCCTCGACCATTCGGTTCTCGTAGTCTTCACCTGGACAAACACATGTATATACTGTATTACACATGGCTGTCCTGCTGTCTCGTAATGTGGGGGCAGGTATATCTATCTCCACGAAAAGCCCAACCAGAATGAAGAACGACCATTGGTGAACTTAGCAACTAGCACGGCATTCATGGTTTCGGAGCAACGTATGGCATGTATAATACCTTAATGCGGCCACAAGGAGCTGCTCTGCTTCCATGTGCCCTTACCATACCACGTTGTCACCCAACAGGAGAGGCGCCTGAGTTCAGCCTTGTGAAGTTGCCATCCTTGTGCTGCAGCAAAGGTTCCTTCAGAAAACGTCACACCAACAGGCGGCGGATAAGGCGGCGTGTGGAACCTGCAGGGAAAAGTTCACCACATGGCATTAGGAGGGTATCCGAGACCACGAGGTGATCGTCACCCAAGGGTCTACTCATTAACTCATGACCAACTCTCGCTGGCAGTTCCATATCGGCCTGACCAGGAGACAGATCCGCCCGACAATGCTATCTCGTCCTGGAGACACATGTATCAGGCCTGAAACAAAAGAATATTGGCTGGAATTTTGTAACCATAAAAGTGCAAACATAGAATGTACGAGTATCTCCAACACGAAGCTGACCAGCCTTTTTCTAATGTTCCCTCGGACACCGCTCACTGCTCAGCAGTGACCTTTCTCAGCTCTGCAAGCTTGACAATTCAATACTGTAAACAGTTGTGTGGAGTAGTACTGTAATCACGCCACACCAATCACCTGGCTCCCTTCCAGAAACAAAAGCTTCAGTCAGTTCAGTTTGCAACAGCAAATTAATTCAGCACAATCAGACAATATAAGGTGAGGCAGTGTTTTACAGATGTTGTATGCTATATGCATGTTCCCAAATAAGTTATGTTAGGAAGTTTACAAAATCAACTAAACCAGACAATGAATTAATTTAATGTAACTAAACGAGGTCAAACATAGTATCAGACAATGGTTTAAGTTATGTTTGACCTGGTTTAGTTCATTAACTAGCTTAATGTAACTAAACCAGACAATGAATTAAGTTATGTTTGACCTGGTTTAGTTCATTAAACCAGGTCAACTAAGTTATGTTGTATACTATATGCATGTTCCCAAATAAGTTATGTTCCCAAATAGTTACAATCAGACAATGAACTAGCTTAATGTAACTAAACCAGGTCAAACACAGTATCAGAGCCTAAAAAATCAACTGAAAAACACATGGTAGCTATAGGAGTAGCCAACATAAAGATCTACCATATCATTAACACTTCCTGCAAATAAAAACAATGCACCAACTTATACTGATGAAAAATACATCAGGCATTACGATTGTACATTATGGCTACGTGAACTCAGCCAATATCCATAAGTACATCATATGAGAAGTTTGTTATTAAACACACTTGCAATTTGCAAACATAAAGATTCTAATCAGATGACCTGATAAAAGATACTAAAGTTATTTTTCTTGGTATAATTGATATAAATATAAACAAGAGCATAGTGAAGGTTGGATATGACCATCTCTAGTTGTCCAAAAGAAAATAAATCATACTAGTTATTGGTATTCTCACTCTACAGAAAAATACATCACTAGATCTAGTAGTAAAGCAATCCATTTTCAAAGCCTTACAGTTTGGTAACAAGGATGTGGTACCCCAGCATTTTCTTGGAATAGTCACAGCACTAGGGAACTCCTGGAGAGCACTATACTTGCAGACAGCTAATGAAACAAACTGTTGCTATCAGGGCCATCTATTCTTAGACCCAGCAGCCATGTTGTATTGCAGAATAAACTACTGTTGAAAAAATACAATACAAGCAACAAACATCTAACATGGTTCTGATATATCACAATTCCAACACTCATGGCTAAGATCCATAAAAGATGAAAGTGGCAGCTAGCTCAAGCAGCAGTGCCCCATACTGTCATCAGTTCCTCAGTGCTACCCAGAAAGAAGCACCTCCATTTGGGTTTGTCTTCTGCCACCGCTAGAGCTCTCTATACCAGGTCACATTACCAAACTGTGCATAATAAGGCAGCAAGGTGGGCCCCAGCAACAGTTCACCATTTGGATGTCCTGCAATAATTCATAGGAGTTTATGGCATTAATGCAAAAGCCAGAAGGTACTTTATTTAGTAAATGATTCCTCAACCATTCCATGTTGGACATGTGGCAAACCTTCACCCAGTGTTACCTCATCCAAGTTTGACAGCTCCATTTACTCCATTTATTTCCCTCTTTTGCAACGGGTGTGATTGGACATGTACAGACATACAGTACTACACAATTTGGTTGCAGAGAACTGGGTGGTCATGCAAAAGGAAAAGGTTTTTCTGTCTGATGTATTGTAGATTGAGAGGAAGGGCGGGCCTGGTGCAAGCGGTAGAGTCTTACCGCCTGTGGGTCCCGGGTTCGAGTCGCAGTCTCCTCGCATTGCACAGGCGAGGGTAAGGCTTGCCACTGACACCCTTCCCCAGACCCCGCACAGAGCGGGAGCTCTCTGCACTGGGTACGCCCTTTTTTTATGTATTGTAGATTGAGAGCGTCATTATTTTGTCCATTATCAGTCTGGAGCAAAATAATGAGACAGTGACAGTTTGTAAACATGAAACTGTAAAGAAAGAACAGATTTAAGCGCGAAGCTCACAGACTTCAGAGACAATTTGTTTCTTTCCAGAACAGCGACCAGATTTACCAAAGTGTGTTTTCAAGTCTTTTGTCTCTCTTTTTCTAGAGTAGCGGTCTTCCAATTTTGGCAAGTACATCTCATGATTAAGTTTGTTAAGGTCTGCAGAAACTGTATAAGATACTTTACCAGAAATGTACCGTATGCAGAAGTACATATCGAATTTTACAGATGTTAGATGCTTCTATCCTCTAAAATCACCCAGGATGTTGTATTAAAATATGACAAAGTGCCAAAAGAACAAGGCAGGCAGCAGGGCAAAAACTGCACACTAGCATCAGACTATACAAAAACTACTCATTTTCTCAGGTTCAACACCAGAAGATCCAAGATAAA